CCAGAGCTACAGCTCGATTTTATTGGCTCGGGCTAGAGTACTAGTAAGCCTGTCTAGTTGTACACGAAACTCGAGAGGTAAGGTAAAGTAAGGTAAACGTCTCCACACACACTTGGCCAAAGTAGTGTCTCTTTTCCTGTTCCCGGCGAGGACCCCCCGGTCGCGCCTCGTGCTGCCGTGCGGCTCTCGCATCGCTTTTTTTCTCCACTGCGCATGTATATAACATGTTCCTCCACCTTCCCACGTCTTCACAGATGAAACCGATAGTTCACATCCCTCTCCTGTCAAGATACTCCACCAGGCACGCGTGTGATTTGACGGGGTGGGTTGGCATGGTCGAGTAGATTCGCGAATAGTTTGGGATAGCGCGTCCGCAAATTCCTCGCAGTCGTACTCTGGAGACGGAAGCGGAGAACGGCGTGGCGAGCGGCACGCTGGGGAGGCCGTAACCGGGGGGCCACGAGCCCATGCGGCACTGCACTGCCCCTGCGGTCGCACACGCGACGGGAAGGAGGATCTCCTCGTACATCGCGACGCCGGTGCTCCAGTAGCGTCGCAGCAGCATGTCGAAAAAGCGGCGCGAGTACCGACCGATGGAGACGAGCGAGCGCATCCGCGAGCGAGCCGGCACGCCTCGCAGCAGCCGCTCGTGCGAGAGCCAGTGGCAATAGAGGCCCTGGGTCTCATTTGCGCGATGCACCCGGCGCCGTGAAGACATCAGACGCACTGGGCGGAGGTCGAAGTCCTCCCTCGTGTAGCGAGGCAGTAGGAGGTCGACCTGCAAGAGGGTGCAAGCGTGAGGTGTGTCTGCGTGTGGGTGCGCGCTCTTGTGCGCGTCGCTCGTCCGACCTGTAGTCCCGCCGAGCGTAATCGCCGTCCTTCGCTGCCACCCAGATGTGTGAGAAAAAGAAAGAAAGAAAACAGACACGCCAAACGAGGGATGGGACGAGGACAGGGTCCCCACCTGCACGAGCAGGATTTTGGAAGAACGATCAGGGGGACAGGTGGGGCTCTCCTGCTCCTGACAAGGGACACGACAGGCTCGCAGCGCGGTGCGCGGTGGACTCCCACATCCACTGGCGGTCTCATCTCAGTCTAGCGGCGATCGCGTCCTTCCCGGGGGTGGCGGATCCAAAGGTGGCGGTGTCGTTCGAGGCGATCGTGGCGGCGGTGGCGGCGTGGGCGGCGGATTAGGCTCGTCCTAGACAGCGTTTGTTTTGCGTGATGTGTGCCGCCGCCAGCGCGGGGCGATGAAGTTTCGACTGGAGAGCCACATGCCTGTTACGAGACCACGCGGCGCAAAATGTAATCTTGATTCTTGTTTACAGGGGCACAGCTGTGCGAGAATAGGCTAGTCGCGCCGACCACACCCACAAAGAACCCCGCACAAAGACCGCAGGGCGGGGACTTGCTCCTTTTTACCCATCTCCCAGAGTAGCTCGAGGTGTCCGTGTGATTTATTTATTTATTGCAGACTCAGTACGTAAGGTAAGGAAGCTTCTCCCTTATGCGGAGACGGGCACTTATGAACCTTCATCAAGAGCGCGCAACCGGACGGACGGCGCCAACGCAGCGGCGCGCCGGGACAGAGGTCGAGAAAGGCAATTGAGGTGGGAATCCTCTCCCATCCACACGTACACGCGAGCCGCCAAGAAGCACTTCCTGGTCAGGCCGTTGCGGGTCGCCGCTTCCGGAAGACGAACTTCGGCATCGGCTGCGGCTGGACGGTGGTGCCTTGGTGGTACGGGATATCGAGCAGGCTCGTGATCGACGCGTCCTCGAGCTCAAACTCCCAGTCCTGCACCAGCTGCGCCACCATCGTCAGCAGCTCGAAGTTCGCAATCTTGTTGCCGGGGCACATCCGGGCGCCCGCCGAGAAGGGCGCGCGCAACAGCGGGTGGTCGATGACTTCCGCCGCCGTCCCCTTCCTCGCCACAACCGCGTCGGGGAGCCACCGCTCCGGGCGGAACTCGTGCGCGTCCGGCACCAGCGCCGGGTCATTCTGCGGCGAGAAGCTGTCGAGCATGACGAGGCTCCCGGCGGGCACGGTGTAGCCGCACATGTCGACCTCGGCGGCGGTCCGCTTCATGAGGCTCACGGGGATCGAAGGTCGCATCCGGTGCACCTCCCGCACCACCGACCGAAGGTACGGCAGCCACTGGCCGCGGCCACTCTGCGTGACCTCTGGCGTCAGACTGCCTCCGACGCCAAGCTCGCGCTGCAGCTCGGCGGCAAGCTTGCGCTGCGCCTCCCTGTCGACCGCCAGCTGAAGCAGGGTCCAGTTGACCAGCGAGGAGGTTGTGTCGACGGAGGCGGCCAGCAGGATGAACGAGATGCCCACGAGCGCCTCCTCCGTCACGTGCTCGTTCTTCAGCCGCCGGTCGAGCGCCGCGCGGAGGTACGAGGCCTGCTCATACTTGTTGAGCTCGCCCGCCTCCCACCGCTCCACAAACGAGCGCACGAGGCCCGACGCGTGCTCCATCGTCACGCTGAACTTGTCGCGCAGCAGCCGGGCATCGGCGCTCTCCACGCCGACTCTGTCTTTGAGCATCTCCACTGGGCTCTGCAGCATGGGCACGAGCAGCATCGTCGCGTCAAGTATCGCCTCTGCAAACTCGAGGTTGCCCGGCAGGCATGGCGTCGCGGGGTCGGCCGACTCGATCAGCTGCCCAAAGAATGCGGCGGTGAAGAGGTCGAAGCTGCTGCGGGCTGTGAAGCTGTCCATCGAGTCGGCGCAGGCCGGAGCGCCCCGGCTCGCAAGCTGCGCCGCCTTGGCGAGCCCCGGGATGTATCCTCGTGCGGCCTTTGGCGTCTGCAGGTCTTGCTGGAAGAACATGCGCTCCTGCCGCCAGGCCTCGCCGTGCCCGAAGATGTTTAGCGCGCCGCGCGTGGCGCCGCCGGGCTCGTCTGCGCCGGGCATCCGCTTGAGGGCAGAGATGGAGGGCCACTGCGTCTCGACCGCACCGGAGGGGTGCAGGCCTTCGCCTCGGATCACCTGCACGTACTCCTCCGGGTCGGAGCAGATGTAGATGGTGCCGTGCACACCTTCTCCGACGCCAGGAAACCCCATCGTATAGAAATGGCCCATTTTGGAGTAGCCGTTTGCGAACATCAAATAAATGTCCGGCGCGTTCGCCTTCGCCGCCCGCCGCTGCAGATGCCACACGTTGTCTGCCGGGAGGTTGAGCATACTGCCAATGACGGGATATGATCGGAGGCCAGGTGCCTGAGCCACGGAGCTCTGATGTCGAAGCTGGTCGAGGAGGACGGCCGCCCGGCGTCCCACTTTGGTGAAGCACTTCATCGGGGCCCGCTGGGAGCGCTAGGAAATCGTGGGCCACAGAAGAGAATTTTCACAGGCGTTCGGATATCCTACGGCTAGCGCATCACACTCCTCTCCTTAAAATCCCTGTGTGGTGGCGGCGTGCCGTCCTCCCATCCCTCCCTTGGGTTGTCTGTTTTCTTTCTTTCTTTCTTTTTTTGGATATCCTTTGGCCGCGTTGGGTAGCGAGGATTGGTGTAACCCGAGCCAGCCACGGAGGCGTGTTTTCTGACGGCCGACCGTCAGTGCACGGAGTTGCCACTTCTCCGACTGCCCCGGCTAGTTCCCGAGGTCGTCGGGTGTGACCCCTTCGTCCCCCGAGACCTAGCGCGGGTGGGTTGGAGGGGCCTCAGAAAGGCGCGCAAGCACGCCCTACGTCTTCCCCTCCTCCCCATCGGGCCGCGTGAGCGGCCACGCCTCGCAGATTCGTTTTCGCGCCTGGGTCACAACTCCCTCGCACAACACAACAACAACAACTCTCTCAACACTCTCTCTCTCTCTCTCAACACAATCAACACTGGGCACGGGATACATACATACATGCACTAACACAGGTACACCACTCGACAGAAGAGAAATTTACAACAAAACTCCCTCGCACAACACTGGGCACGGGACTGGCGCGCACTGGCACTAACTAACACAGGTGCGACAGAAGAGAATTTTACAACGAAGCTCCCTCGCACAACACTGGGCACGGGACTGGCGCGCACTGGCACTAACACAGGTACACCACGGGAGCCGCCTAAGCGACTCCTGCGAGGGTGGCGAGGCACTTAGCTCCGTGCACCCGCCCACCCCCGCCAGCCACAGGCAAGCTCATTCACGACCTGCTCTGCGATGGCCGTGTGAAGAACGACTGAGATGCGCTGCTTCTGCAGCCCCAGCCAGCTCTTGGTGGTCCAAGTCACCTCATCGAGGTACTGGGCCCGCGTCAGCTTGTTCTGTAGCATGTCCGCCGCCTTCCGGAGGATCTCACGGACCCCCTTTCCGAACCCGCCGAGAATTTTACAACAAAACTCCCTCGTACAACACTGGGCACGGGACTGGCGCGCACTGGCACTAACACAGGTACACCACGGGAGCAGGTAGGTAGGTAGGTAGGGGCAGGGCAAAGGAAAGGAAAACAGATGGGGCGCGAGAGGCAAACCTCGTACATCCCAAAAGAGAAAAGACCCAGGGAGGGCCTTTCGGGCTCGGGCCGCCCTCCCTCGCCCGCACCTTTGCGGGGCTTGCATGCAGGACCAAAAAGAAGCAACACAAAAACACAAAAGAAGAAGAAAGAAAACCGGGAACGTCGAGTACGTTCCCCCCTCGGAGGGGGCCGGACGAGGCGTACCCCGAGGGCCCCACTCTTTCCTTCGCATAGCGGCCACTCTTGAGAGAGAGAGAAAGGGTGAGAAAATGGAAAGCGGTGTAGGAGCTTTCACAGCCTGCAGCTTATATCTTCACAACCCACACAACCCACAGTGAAGTGCCGCCTAGCCGCCATGCAGAGAGACGCCTCCGGCGCGCCTCGCCCTGCCAGCGCGCCCAGCGACCCCGCCGCTGCGGCCGCGCGCTGAGCCGCCGTCAAGCGCGCGCGGATTTTCGCGCTGTGCCTGCTGCGCTGCGGCGACGCTGTGGCCGCGCGCTCGCCGCCTGAAGACTCCCTGGGCCTGCGTGTGGCACAGGCGCGTCGGAGGAGGAGGAGTCGGAGTTGTCGCAGTCGGAGAACGACGACGCCACGTGGGTGAGCTGGTTCTGCTCGCTCAAGGGCAACGAGTGCGCCGCGCTCCCCGCCCGCCGCCCACGCCTCTGCACGAGCCAGTGCCAGCCTCCCCGCCCACGGAGCCGCCGTCGGTGGCGGCGCGCGCGCTGCGCGCGTCCATCGTCGGCTGCTTCTGGCGGCGGCGCGGCGGCGCGCCCCTGCAGCGCGCGCTCTCGCATGCCCACAGATGCTCCTCCGCGCACGGCTGTCGCCATGTCGCCGCCTCAAAGCCCACTCTCTCCACACGTGCGACCCGCCGCCGGCGCGGCGCCGCCGACGCCCTGGGCGCGCCGGCTCGCGCAGGTTCTTCGTCGAGGTTGACGAGGACTTTATCCAGGACGACTTCAACCTCACCGGCCTCTCGACCCAGGTACGGCGCCGCAGGACAGACACTCTCTCTGTCTCTCCTCTGTCTCTCTGTCTCTCTGTCTCTCTGTCACAGACGTGCGCGTTTACCTCCCCTCCCCTCCCCTCCCCTCCCCTTACCTTACCTCACCTTACCTTCCCTGCGCAGGTGCCCTTTTACGAGCACGCACTCGACCTCATCCTCGACGTCGACGCGCCGCGCGACGCCGGCCTCTCCGAGGAGCAGCAGGACTCGATCGAGGCGGCGGCGGAGCTGCTGTACGGGCTGATCCACGCGCGGTACATCATCACGCCGCGCGGCCTCGCGGGCATGCTCGACAAGTTCAAGCACATCCACTTTGGGCGCTGCCCGCGAGTGTTCTGCCAGGGGCAGGCGGTGCTGCCGGTCGGCCAGAGCGACATTCCCCGCACGCACACGTGCAAGACCTTCTGCCCAAAGTGCTCCGACATCCACTACCCGCGCTCCTCGAGGCACGCCAACATCGACGGTGCCTACTTTGGGACCACCTTCTGCCATCTCTTCCTCCAAACCTACTGGGACCTGGTGCCGCCGCCGCCGCGCGAGCAGTACGTGCCCCGCATCTTCGGCTTCCGGATCTACAAGAAGGAGCGGGCGCCGCAGCAGCAGCAGGCGCTCGCTGGCGGCGCCCGCGGCGGCGGCGGCGGCGGCAGGGGGAAGGAGGGCGGCGACGGCGTGCAGCAGCCGAGCGGCGGCAACGGCGCCGCGGGCGTGAGTGGCGTCGCCGCGGCGGGAGGCGGAGGCGGAGGCGGAGGCGGAGGAGGAGGCGGAGGAGGCGGAGGCGGAGGCGGAGGGGCGTCCAGGGTGCCGGTGCCAGCGGCGGCGCCTGGCGGCGGAGGGGAGGGCGAGGGGCCCTCCAGCCGAGGGGTTGGGGTCAACCTGCCACCCGGCGGCGCCGCCACGCACGACGCAGCTTCGGCCGCCGGATGCGGCGCCGGGGCGGGCGCGGGCGGCGGCGCGGGCGGCGGCGGCGCGGGCGGCGGCGGTGCAGGCGGCGGCGGTGCGGGCGGCGGCGGCGCGGGCGGCGGCGGGGAGGGCGGTTGCGGAGCGGCGCGCCGCGGGGCCGCAGGGGGTCGGGGCGGAGGAGGGGGGCGGGGCGGCTGGGGGCGGGGCGGCTGGGGGCGGGGCGAGGCGGGCAACGCCGAATGGGGAGTCGGACTCGGCGGGCGCTAGCCGAGATGGCGCCGAGATGTCGCGGGGAGATGGCCGGGAGTTGGTCGGGAGTGGGTCCGAAGTGTGTAGCTCGAGTGTCGTGTCCGGCAGGGGTCTCTCTCCCTCTCCCCCCGCCCCTCTCCTTCTCCCTCTCCCTCTCCCTCTCCCTCTCCCTCTCCCTCTCCCTCTCCCTCTCCCTCTCCCTCTCCCTCTCCCTCTCCCTCTCCTACCCTCTCCCTCTCCCTCTCCTACCCTCTCCCTCTCCCTCTCCCTCTCCCTCTCCCCTCCCCCTCTCCTTCTCCCTCTCCCTCTCTCCCTCTCTCCCTCTCCCTCTCCCTCTCCCTCTCTCCCTCTCCCTCTCCCTCGCCCTCGCCCTCTCCCTCTCCCTCTCCCTCGCCCTCGCCCTCTCCCTCTCTCCCTCTCCCTCGCCCTCTCCCTCTCTAGTCCTCTCGCCCTCCCCCTCCCCCTCCCCCTCCCCCCCCCTTTCACCTTCCGCACCCGGTCGTGCACATCCTTTCTCCTCACCGCGGCCGCCCGCCCCTCAGCTCCCTCTCTCACGGCACGCCTGCCCTCTCATTCACCACTCCATCCATTCCTCGACAGGTCCCTCTCTCGCTGCACGCCTGCTCTCTCGGTGAGTCCGAGTCGCACCAGCCGTGTCAGCCGGCGCCGTGTCGCGGCCGCGGAGCAGCGACGGTGCCGGCGGCGGCGGTGGCGTCAGCCAACGCGCGGCCGTAGGGCGGCGCGGGCGGCGGAGGGGCGGAGGAGGAGGACGGGTGGGGGCATGCAGCGGACGACGAGTCTTTCGTGGCTCTCTCACACACGGCCACACTGAACGTTGGGCGATCGCCGCGCGGATGGGTGCAAGGGGCACACTGTAAGGTCAAGTAGCTGCCAGCTCTTAAAGTACACGAGTCCGTGGACGCACGCGGTTTTTTGAACGCCGACGCGGTCGCGCGAGACGGAGCCAGAGCTCTGGAGAGGGTGGAGAGGCCGTGTCACGGTCCAGCCGCCGGACCCACCGCGCGCGTCGACCTCTGTCGCGTGGCTGGCATGTTGTGCGAGTATATGGGACAAAAGCGTCGAAAATGTCCCAAAAAGCGTGTCTCGAGTTTGTTGCAGCCCCACAGCTGGCGCGCGCTGCCAGGATGCACCGCTCGTGTGTCGGCCGCACTCCCTGGCACCCAGTGAGTGCGGCGAACCGACCAGACCGAATGGGCTCGACGCCGCGCTCGCTGTGGGGCTGCAACAAAGTCGCCGCCGAGCGTGCCACCGACGGCGTCCCGGCGGCGGTGATGGAGTGTGAGACCTGAGGCTGCGGAGGTGACGCCTGAGGTACCGGCCCGTGCACAGCGACTCAGCCGGCGACCGCCACGGGCTCAGACGAGACTTGTCGACTCGTTACGGCTCAGCTTCACCGTGGTCATCGGGCGTCTGTCGACGTCAGGACCACCCATACAGCTCGCGGGTTTGAGGTCGCAAGAGCCAAGATGGTGGCGTTTGGACATCCCAACCATCACACAAGACAGCCTGTAGGTGATGGCGGGACGGCGCAGTGTTTGTGGCACTCGGCAGTAGGCACCCGCGGCACGGCCCCGCTGTCGGCTCTCACGGGCTGCGGAACCGGCCCCAGAGGGAGCTGCTCCGGGGGAGTGTGCCACTCCCCGCGTTAGTAAGGGCCCCCTCTACCAAAGACCTCGGGATCCGGGTCTTAAAAGCCCCCAGGGAAAGCCTCGGGACCCGGGAGGGCTCAAAACCTTTCAATTTGGGGACATGGTTTCCCAAATCTTCCCAAAACGACCCGGCTGGGGGGGTTTCAGAGTTTTTACCGGAGACCCCCCCCCCCCCCCCCCCCCGCGCGCCCGCCCGCAAGGGCAAGCAAGGCGCGCGAATTATCATACATCGTCGTGATGAGGGCCTCGGCCGAATCAAGTCGCAAGTCTGCGTCTCGTCACTCGTGCTCGAACGCCAACGCCAACAGGGAGGCGCAGACAGAACGGTCTGGAACGCGGAGGAACGGGTCCGGCCGGGGTCCGCCAAAAGGTAAATCGCTCCCGGGTTCCGGCGTCTCGCAATTCTTTCACGAGGCCCTCAATAGATCAACTCTCCCTCTCTCCATGAAGGGAGCGAACCTGGCTGACGGCAAAACGTAAATCCGAACGCGTGCGTCCATCGCTCAGCACTATGGGCTCCAGCAAGCGCTCCAAGGCGGCTGCAAAGCTCAAGGCCGTCGCCATCGCCAGCGTGGCAGCAGTGCCAAAGGTGGCAAAGGCGGGCGCTGCAGCGCCTAGGCGTGCAGTGTCTGCGACGCGGCGCAAAGGAGGCAGCTCCGGCCGCAGCAGCGACACCGCTGCACAGCAGTGGGAGCAGGCATGTGCTGCAGCCGGCGACTCTCTCCGGGTGGCGGCCGAGGCTGGAAGAAAGACGACGGTGGCGGCGGCGACGACAGCGGCGCGCGAGGTGGCCAGTGAGTCGACGGCCGAGTGTTTTGCCCGCCGCCTCAAGGAGCGGGTGGCAGAGCGGACCGGCGGCAGGCCCTCGCAGGTAGAGACGGCGAGGGTCGAGGATAGAAGCGGCTGGCTGGGGGGACGCACCCGAGAAGGGGCGCATTGCACCTGGTGCTGCGAGCTACCTCTTCGCCTGGCGGTCCTCGTCTGGGCCCTAGCCCTCCTCGTGGTCGGCATTGCCTCCGCGTGGGCGGCCGCTCAGGTTCGGGAGATCGGCAGCCTCTGCGTCACCGCTTCGCTGATTGCCGGCGTCTGCCTCCTCCTGTCCATATGCGGCCTCTGGGGCGTCTGCAGCGGCGGCCGAGCCTGCCGCTGGTGCCTCGCCCTCTACGCGTGTGTCAACGTCCTCCTCGTGCTGTTGCTCGTTGTGGGCACTGCGCTGGCGCTAGCTGCCGGTGTGACGCTCGACAACGCCCAGGAGGAAAGCTTCTCCTACGAGCCAAACGGAGAGCTCGAGCGGAGCGTCTTTGGCGCGGCACGCGGCGTCTTTCAGTCGGCCTACGACCGGTGCGAACCGTCTGCGTACCTGAGCGACGCCGTCAACGACGCGTGCGCCTCAGGCCTGCTCAACGCGAGCGGCGGCTCCTCCTGCACAGGCAATGCGCCGGGGCAGCTCTCCATATTTTGCAAGGCGCCGGCGGCGACGCAGCAGGCGTCCCTCCAAGCGGCGCTATACAACCCGCCCGAGTCGGTGCCACCGCGGTCCCTCTCCGCCGCTCTCAACAGCTTCGACTGGTGGGCGAGCGCCTTCTGCACGCCCGTGACCGCCGAGTTTGGCGCCCAGCTGCACATCGCCGCGCCGGCCGCCAAGGAGTCGTCGGACGCAAGCAAGGATCTGTTCAGGTGGGCCACCTCTGAGGCCGGCTCGGGCGAGGCGCGCGACTTCCTCGACAAGCTGGTCGCCTGGACCGATTGCTACGGAACGCAGTGGTGGAGGGAGGAGGAAGGTCCGACCGCGGGCGGTGGCTTCACACCGTCGCCGGAGCTTCCGGACTCGCTGCTGTCGCTGCTCGGAGAGGGCGAGGCGTACTCTGCCAAGATGCTCTTCTGCTCGTGCGGGAGCTCCAACGTCGCGGTGGCTGCGGCTGGCCACCTCAAGACCACGGGCTGGGTCCTGCTTGGGTGCGCGCTCTGCTTTGCGCTCATCTTTGCGGTTGAGCTGCGGCTGCTGTGCCGCCAGGGCGAGCCCCTGCGACGCACAGCTGTGGGCTCGCCAGGCGGGCGGAGACAGCGAGTGACGGAGCTCACTGCCGTGTCGGCACCGCTTTGACCCTTAGCCTTACTCAAGTAGTTGGATCCCAAACACGCACGCCACACACACACACACACACACACACACACACACACACACACACACACAGAGAGAGAGAGAGAGAGAGAGAGAGAGAGAGAGAGAGAGAGAGAGAGAGAGAGAGAAGTAATCTGCAGGATGGATTGTGTGGTGTGTAGTAATCTGCAAGGCAATTTGACCCGCACGTAGTAATCTGCAAGAGAAAAGCTCAAAACGTAGTAAACTTGGAGCACTTGGAGTGCAGTCGGCAAGAACCTCACATCCAGGGCCGGGGAGCAAACTTGCCATTTTTCGTAGTTTTAACCAAAAGCTAGGCACACAACGCCCTCTATGTTGGGTCAAGGGCGCCTAGAAGAAGGCGCCGCCCCCCGAAGACTGTCCCATACAATACCACCGGATAGCGGATACCATGCAGTTGCGGCAGCCTGATCAAGGAGCCACACGATCACCGGCTTCGTCCCACTCGTTCGTCCCAGCTCTCGTGGCAGCAATGTTCGCCCGGTGGACCGGCCGCGGTGTGTTTTACCCAACAGATGTGAGCATGTGGAATCTACTCGAGGGCGCGCTGCCTTTTGATCGTCTTGCCCTGCCATCGGTGGCGCACAATTCGACCTACCATTACGTGCATGTGCGCGGTGCCTTCAATACGGGCACCAACGTCGCCGTTGACACACTGAGGGCATGGTACCGGCAGCAACCGCAGCATATGCGTGTTGGGATTAGCGACGTCCAACAGATCAACAAGGTTTACGGTTGCTGGAAGCACACTGCGCCATGGCTCCTGGTGCGCAACGAGACACCACTTCTCGAGCCTCGGCAGTACCTATCCTCCCACCTGATAGTCGTCATGGCGCGACATCCGCTGTTTTGGCTCGCGTCCACCCTCCAAAAGCCGTACGAAATCAACTGCAAGCAGCGTGCTGAGGGCCTCGATTGCAGCTTAGGCTATGGGCTAACGGATTTCGGGAACAATGTACTGGGCTGCGCTGTGGCTGTACCCAGACGGATCGACCGCAGTCGGTTCCAACGGCTGGAGCAGATTTGGACGAAGTACTACGAGTTCTATCAGTTGTGGGCCGCTGAGGGCCGGACGCTAGGCCACGACGTTGGTGGTTGGCCACGCCGGGCTGTGCTCTTCCTCCGCCATGAAGACCTTGCTCTGAATACCACACAGGCCATGCAGACCATTCAGCTCTATCTGTCTGGCGGGGTCGCAGCACTGTCGCTGCAAGAGTCTAGAGGACAGCTGCAAGAGTTGTTGCCCAGGGAAACATCCGTCAAGGCCCATCACCGTGGATGCAGGAGTGATCTTTGCATGAATCGCTCCTCTGTGCTGAAAACCTTGGGCGACACTAAGGATGGCTCTGCAGGCACACTTAGCACACTGAACACATGGTGCAAAGCACTGAAACCGAGCATGGTTGATCGAGTGGCACATGACGCCCAGCTACGGAAAGTTGCAGAGGATTACGGGTATCGGATTCCGCAGCCAGGTGCATGTGCAAAAACAGGTGCGTAAACAGAGACGAGCTGAGTGAAGCGGGCGCCGATGCCGGAGGCAGAAAGAGGGAAAGGCGACGAGCGGCGGCGGCGACGAAGGCGGTACACAGGCGGCAGCGAGCGGCTGCTATAGAGCGGCTGCAACGTGCGGCACAGCGGCGCGGCCAGCGGAGACAAGCTACGGTAATAACGGGAGTCAAAAGGGACAAGTTGGGAGCGAGCGGCGGCGCGGTCGAGAGGACACACATGTGCAACAAGACCTGGCGCTGCCGGGTGAACAGTGGCTTGATGATTGTGCGCCCTGGCGGATCCCAAGGCCATGATTTTGGCAATCAGAGCAGCTCGTGGGTGGCCCAGCTGCTTTCTCAGCTTCTCCACAACGAGAGTCGAGGCGTGCCGCAACTACTGGAGCGGCAGGCAATGGGAGCAAGACTGCCTGCAGAAGCTGCTGGGAGACACACACCTGCCGTCGGTGTCACGCCTGCTACACGAAGGGGCTGCGCAGTGGAAGCCCGTCACAGGGCCAAGCGGCAAGGTCTGCGTTCTCCCAGCAGCGGCCGTGATGCCATGGGTGAATCGAATCATGCCAAGCAGTTCTTCTGCAGCTTCTATTGCGATTCCTTCACCCGAGATTATGACAAATGCGCTGAGATCGACGTGGACCCTCAACCAGCCACTGCCTTTTGCCGCCCACCTGCTCGAGGTGTGCTCCCCTTCCGTGTGCGGCGACAAGGTGGAGCTTGCAAAACTCCTTGAAGGCGCACCGGTCAACTCATTGGCTCCGACCTTTCGCAGATGCAACCACCGCTATTCTACAGAATCAGAAACGGCTCGCTCCAGCTCGGAAGCACTGCCTCATGAACTCGTGACCTAACTATTACAGGATTACACATAATGTGAACATGTTTACCTTAACCTAAGCCGTACGGTCCTTCCTCTTCTCCGGGTGCGTGTTTGGGTGCGCTCGAGAGTTGGGTGCGCGCGCTCGGGCCGAGCGTTTTTGATCCCTCCACCCTCGGTCTGTATGGGCGACCGCCCGCCGCCTCTGAGGGGGTCGGGCCCCCTAGTCTGAAAACAAAAACAAGCTCGAAAACAGCCAAAATCAGCCGCTGCGAGAGAGGCACTGCGCGCCGCTGACCTCATGTGGGGATGTGTGCCGACACCAATACTGATCTAAAACCTGGAAACCCTTGTTCAAAGCCGACCCTAAGCGCCATCCTTCCTGCTCTCACCTGATGCTGCTTCCCCGCGCCGCCTCCTTGGCCCCCTTGGGCGTATTTTCTACTCCCAGTGGGGGGCCTGGGCCCCCGCCCCCCCTCTTGTTTTCTGTTTTCTGTTTTTCAAAACGCCCGCCCGCCCGCCACCCCGAGGCGGCTCGGCCCCCTACAGACCGAGAGATCAAATTACGCGCTCCGCCTCGCCGCTCCAGTGCTCGCGCTCGCTCCACCCGCGCGGTAGCGACGCCAAGACCGCGTTTAGACTCTCGTGATGCCGTCTTTTGATACGCCCTTCACACAAAATACGCAAACGAACAAACTAAAGCCGTATGCCGTACACAAAGCTCTAGAAAGAGGCGGCATCTCGACCTCGACCCGAACAGCGGACAGGGCAGCGAGAGGGGAACTCATAACTCGTGCTTTATCTGCCGCAGCTCCGTCCGGCGCGCCGCAACCTTCCCCTCGATCTCCACCAGCTCCTCCTCGCTCGCCGACGCCACCACCTCCGCCACCTGCTGCAGCCGCTCCGCCTGCAGCCGCTCGTCGTATTTCCAGTCGCCATAGTGCACTTCTGACGGCACCAGCTCGGAGCCCGACTTGCCGCAGCTCTGGCAGGTGACGGGGCACTTTGAGTGCATGTACATCGGGTTCTTACCGCACTCCGCCAGCCCCCACCCCGCGCAGTTCTCGTGCTCGTCCACGCAGGCGCTGATCCGAGGCTGCACCTCGTCGATCTGCGCGGCGAAGGTGCGGCACCTCTCTGGCAGCAGCTTGCCGGCGCACGCGCGCTGGTAAAACTCGCAAAAGGCCGCGTTCAGAGTTGAGAGATGCTCCTGGCAGAGCGCGTCCCGCTTCGACATCGCCTCCAGATCGACCTCAGGGTCGTCAAGCAGGAAGAGCGAGCCCGACGGCTTGGCGAGAGCGTGTGAGCACTCCTGCAGGTCACGGAGCCAGGACGTGTCGAGGAAGCGTCGAGGAAGTGTCGAGGAAGTATCGAGGAGGTGGCGTGAGCACTCCTCGAGCCGGAGCTGCTGGTAGTTCATCTTGTTGAAGTACGCCCGGCCGAGCGTGTAGTCTGCGCCGTAGTGCATGATGGAGGGAGGCCGGCCGAGGTGCGGCTCGTAGCCGGGGTACAGCATGATGTCGCGCCGGATCCGGTGCGTGACTCCCACCTCGGCGGCGGCGAAGACGTAGCCGTACATCTCGCCGTGCCACCGCGCCTGCTTGCGCCATGTCTCCCCCTCGAGCTCCCCATATCTCCCCGTATCTCCCCGTATCTCCCCATATCTCGTGCCACCGCGCCTGCTTGCGCCATGTCTCCCCCTCGAGCTCCCCATATCTCCCCGTATCTCCCCGTATCTCCCCATATCTCGTGCCACCGCGCCTGCTTGCGCCATGTCTCCCCCTCGAGCTCCCCATATCTCCCCTTATCTCCCCGTATCTCCCCATATCTCGTGCCACCGCGCCTGCTTGCGCCATGTCTCCCCCTCGAGCTTGTTCTTGGGCGGGTCGGGGTGGTGCGCCTGCGTGCTGAATACGCCAACATGAGGGCGGGAGTACAGTATTGTGCACCGCGTGAGTACAACGGAGAGGAAGACAGTGACTACAGCGGAAGACGGGTGAGCACAGCGGAACACGTGGCCCTCTCGGGCGCTAGTTGGGAGTACAAGAATGCGGTACTCCGCTTCTAGGCACGAGATATGGGGAGATATGGGGAGATATGGGGAGATATGGGGAGATATGGGGAGAGACAGGAACCCGTATTCTGCTTCTAGAGGGTGGTGCGCCGACTCGTTGAAGTACTCCTCGGGGTGGTCGTTTGCAAACTGGCGCACCTACGTGGAGCATATCTCCCCATATCTCGAGCATATCTCCCCATATCTCGAGCATATGTCCTCGGGGTGGTCGTTGCAAACTGGCGCACCTAAAAAAGAAACACACGGTGCGTGGGGGTTTCTTTTTTATGTGGTCGCAAACTGGCGCACCCGCTGCGTAAACGTCAGCCACTTCGGCGCGATCTGGCGGAGGTCCTACGTGGAGATATGGGGAGATATGCTCGAGATATGGGGAGAGATTGCATCTCACTCGTCGAGGTCCTACGCGGTGAACACCCCAGCATCGGGGCGGGAGCACGGTGTTGTGCGGTGTCTTCAGAGCACCGCGTGAGTACGAGGGAGGCGAGTACTGCGTATGCAGCGGAAGACGGCGGGTGTACGGCTGAAGACGCGTCCTCGCGAGTGCTGGTTGGGAGACATGAACACGCATTCCGCTTCTAAAAGTGAATACGGCGGAGTACGCGTCCTCTCGAGTGCTGGTTGGGATGCGTCGCGAGATACGGGAGACACGGGGAGACACGGGGAGATACGGGGAGATATGGGGAGATACGGGGAGAGATTCCGCTTCTAGGGGCGGGGGTCCTCGCGGTGAAAGATGTGGAAGCCTCCGACCTGCGCCATGCGGCGGTCCAGCGTTGGGTTAGGGTCAGGGCTAGGGCTAGGGTTCGGGGTAGTGAACGATGTGGAAGCCTCCGACCTGCGCCATGCGGCGGTCCAGCGTTGGGTTAGGGTCAGGGCTAGGGCTAGGGTTCGGGGTAGTGAACGATGTGGAAGCCTCCGACCTGCGCCATGCGGCGGTCCAGCGTTGGGTTAGGGTCAGGGCTAGGGCTAGGGTTCGGGGTAGTGAACGATGTGGAAGCCTCCGACCTGCGCCATGCGGCGGTCCAGCGTTGGGTTAGGGTCAGGGCTAGGGCTAGGGTTCGGGTTAGTGACCTGCGCCATGCGGCGGTCCAGCTTCGGGTCGATGAAACGGTGCGCGAACCTGTGGTCGTATGCAAGTTTGATGGAACGGCACAACGCAGAAGACGCACCCTCGCTCATTGCTGTGCCTGCATCATTTCTTCGACCGTCTCAGACGCTGTCTTGATGACATCAACGTCAGGCTGATAGGTGCCGTCGCTGTCACTGTCCATCTATGGAGTCACCCGCTCTTCGTGCCGTACAGGTAGGTGTACTCTGCGGAGAGGCAAGGGAAGGGAAGGTCAGCGTCTGCACGCACCACACAAGGTGGCGGGGCAAGGGCCAGGCTAGTCCCTCGCATCTCCGCGCCCGGGACGCGGGCAGGAGCCCTCGCACGGCATTCAAAGTGCAAGCACCGGCCCGGTGCCGCGGGTGAGCACGGGACGCGGAGGGTCGGTCGGCTCCTAACTAGCTGTATCTAGTCGCGATCTGCCGGCGTGGGTATGAGCTCACTAGCTAGAGAGCTCACGCTAGAGGCCGTCCCTCGCATTCGCCTTCCTGGGACCCAGCGCTGGCTTCTGGCTTCTGACTGTCGTTGCTGTCTCACCCTTCTCGACTGTCTGTGCTTGTGCGTCTTGGGTCCGGGGTTGTGTCTTTCCGTGAGCAACCTGCTGAGACGACGTTGCCGCGCGTCACGCCCATCGCCACCTAAAAATAACACAAGGGCAATGTGAAAAAGGAACACACGGCGCGCCCTCCTCCCGCGGCTGCCCCGCGAGCACCTAAAAAAGAAATACAGCGCCGCTGTGGAAAAGGAGCACACGGCGCGCCGCGCGTCCCATCGCCACCGGGTCGATCGGCTGGCGGAGGATCATGTCCGAGTCCATGAAGAGGACATAGTCCTGCGTCGTGAGGTGTGCGCTAAGCTGGGCCAACCGTTGAATGGAGTGGAGCTTCAGCTCGCCTCTCCTGCGCGAGTCTCTCCGAGATACACCGAGATACACCGAGATACACCGAGATACACCGAGATACACCGAGATACACCGAGATACACCGAGAGACGCCACCTCTCTTCACAGTCGGGAGCGTCGCTGGGGAAGAGCGATGGGGAGAGAGGGCGGGCGGGCGGGCGGGCGGGCGGGAGGGCAGGAGGGAGGGGGGGCGGGAGGGCGGGCGGGAGGGCAAGCTGTTGGGTGGAGAGCTTGGTATCAGTCGGTGGTAGCCGTAGTGCAGTAGTGGCGCGCTGGGTGTGCACGCACAGTGGGTTCCACGGCAGGGAGGGGAGGGCGCCCCGAGTCGAATATGTGTCCACTCGAGTGCCCTTGCCCGATACAAAGATGGGCGTTCCCCATCTAGGCCCCGAGATATGGGGAGATATGCGGGGGCATTCCCCATCTAAGTCGACGTGGTCCTCCTCGACGTCGGTCTGCTCGAGCCACGCCATCACCGAGTAGGGCTTGTTGTAGGAGGCATACCTGTGGGTTGGAAGGAAGGATGAGGCTGCGATGGCAGTCGGAGCCGGTGACTGCGGTGGCGACAGCGGTGGCGGCGGCAGCGGTGGTCACAAAAGTGGTGGCGCCAGCGGTGGCAGCGAGGCGCACCCCGTCCCTTTACCGTCGTTGTGCGGGTCGTCCTTCTCGGCGTCGTTGCTCGCGTCGAAGCGCATGTTCTTGTGAACAAAGGTTGGCCCCATCTCGAGGTTAACCTTCGGGTACGTGGACAGCTGCGCCTCGGAGCACGCCAGCAGCCGCGTGATGCGCCCGGGCTGCTGCACGCGCCGGAAGGAGTAGAAGAGGCCGGCGCTCTGCCAGTCGAAGGCAGGGATGCACTCGGCGGAGAAGACCACGTGGAGGTCGGCCGGGTCCGCGGCGGCCGCGGCGGAGGCCTCCAGCACTGGAGGCATCGCTCCGGGTCTCCGGGCCGCCTGTGTCGACGCCACAAAGTTGGTGAATAAAAAGAAAAAAAACGTGGCGAGTGCCGAATCAGCATGTCTCTCGTCGTCTCTCTGCTCCTCGCTCGGCCGAGCGGCGACTCGGGTGGTGCAGAGGCGCCGCCGCTGCGCGTGCGCGCGCACGAGGCGGCGCTGGAGCACGCCTGCTGTCGCCGCCACGGCCCGACGCCCGAGGCAGACGCGGAGGTCCTCACTGCAGGAGGTCCTCACACAGCAGAGGGCCACCTCTTCCACCAGTCATCCCGCATAAGGCATGTACTCACACCGAGTTGAGCGCCGAGTGGGCATCCGACAAAAGGTACGTGTCGTCTCGCGGTTAAGCCCTTTGGTACGTTCCAACTTCCAAGTTGCTCAAGGCGCCTCCGTCAAAACCCGAAACCACGATGTCAATGTACGTGTGACAAATACATGCCTTGCGTTCGGAACCCATGCTGGTGTCTGCTGGAACCCATGCTGGTGTCTGCTGTCAAAGAGATTACCAGTCCTAAAATTCTTTTTAAGAGCGCCTTCGTTGTTAATAATAATAGACGGGGGTGGTCACTTGCTGAACGCCACATCGATGACATGCACACGCCCGTACCGCACCACACCCCGCACCCGCGCGCCCCCCCGCCTCGCCTGGGTTGGAAGGAGATGGGTAGATGGAACAGCCCGAGGAAAGGAGCGGAACAAACACGTATAGGAGGTTGAAGTTGTGCACCACGCTGCCCGCGTTTCTCACTTTCCGGGACAGCCCCGGGGCCCCTGTTCACGGCAGGCAAGGGCGAAGCTAAGAATATTTAATTTTGCGTAATGGACCTCTCGTTCCTCACGCACCACTCATCTAGTTAGTTATGTTTTTCATGCATTTACACACCATCTTGAAATGTGGTGTTCGGGTGTTGACGCCTTAGAGCAACTTGGAACGGGCTTAACCGCGAGACGACACGTACCTTCGAGACAGACAGTGTCTGTCGGATGCCCACTCGCCGCTCAACTCGGTGTGAGTACATGCCTTACCCGGGATGGCTGGTGGAAGAGGTGGCCCTCTGCCGTGTGAGGACCTCCTGCCTGCAGTGAGGACCTCCGCGTCTGCCTGCTGAGGACCTCTCTCTGATAGCGTGATAGGGTCCCCTCGCCCTCTCGCTGGCGCTCCTACCTTGATCGCGTCCAGTGCTCCTTGATCGCGTCAGCGAGACACACAGTGTGCATCAGTTCACACGTCGGTCATTGCCCCACCGCCGCGCGGAGTGGCTATAGAGAGTGAGGACCTCCCGGTCACTCCGTGTGAGGACCTCTCCTCTTAGGGACTTAGCGTGAGGACCTCTGGGATCCCTCACTCCCTCTCTCGCTGGCGCGCACTGTCTCCTTTGGTCGCGCCCCGAGCATGCCACCGCGGCCGCCATCCTCTTCCTGTACGGCTTCTGCTTACCGGCATCTATCTCCGTGCAACACCTCGCTCTCGCGTGACCCATGTGATCCTACCTTCGGGGAAGTGAACTCATACTCGAAGATGATTGGAAAGCAATGAGAGGATGTCGTGTGTGCGAGGGGTGTAGTCGAAGCCCTTTTTTTTTTGAGAGCGCCTTCGTTGTTAATAAGAATACAGACGGACGGACACTTGCTGTAGCCACATGACACGCACACACTCACACCGCACCGCACCCCGCACCCATGCCCCCCCCCGCCTCGCCTGAGTTGGATGGAGATGGGAAGATGGAACAGCCCGAGGAAAGGAGCGAAACAAACAAGTATGGGAGGTTGAAGTCATGCACCACGCTGCCCGGCGTCTCTCACTTTCCGGGACAGCCCCGCCCTTGTGAGGCAGGTAAGTGGCGGCTACCCCGTACGCCAGCCCACTACGACCCCCTCGTCACGTTGGTTTTTTTTCTTTTTTTTGTCGGCGTCGCCAGGGCCCGCCAGCCCATGCTGCCTCTGCTGGCATCCGCGGCGTGCCTGCTGCAGCCAATGTCGCCGTCAACGCCTCGCTCCGTCGCCATCCCGCTCCTCCAATCGCCCATGATTGGCGACCTCGGTGCCGCGAACGACCAGCACCAAAGACGCAGACTCGGTCGCACACCGACGCTCCTCCGCCCACCACTGCAGGCTTCGACCCGCTCGGCCTCGCGACGGCCGACAACCTGCAGCGCATGCGCGAGGCGGAGGTGCGGCACGGGCGGCTCGCGATGGTCGCCGCGTGGGGGTGGCCTGTCGCCGAGGTCGGCTTTGCCGTCGCGCAGAGGCTGCTGCCGGTGTCGTCAGTGTGCAGCGGGGACGGGTGCGGCGTGGACCGCACCGAGGCGGGGCGGCAGGCGGCGCTGCAGCTGTCCGACATCGGACTGATCTCCGCGTGCTACTGGGGCACTCTGCTCGCGGCCGCGGTCACTGGGGAGCTGCAGGCGCCACACCGGCTTTAGACGTAGCCACTACACACGCACAGACAGACAACGAGCAGCCTTGTAGCTATGTCGACACCGCAGGGGAGCTACATGGGCGACAGCAGCTTCAGAACAGCAGCTGGCCACTGCCTACGCCACACCGGCTTCCGACAGCGGCTTCAAAACAGCAGCCACTGCACGCCCACACCGTCTTCCGACAGCGGCGCCTACGTCACACCGTCTTCAGACAGCACAGCAGCCTTGCAGCCACTACACCAACACACATACAGACAAAGAGCAGCCTTGTAGCTATGCCGACACCGCACAGGCGCGCCACATACATTCATGCATCATGTAGCAGCAGCCCCCACCGTGATTTCTTTTCTGTCAGGCGCGGCGGGGGTGCGCCTTCGACCCGCTGCGACTGTGGGTGGACGCCGGCGGCTGTGGGCGACGGCGGCTCGAGCTGGCCGAGCCGTCGGCTGTAAAAAAGAAACCTGCGAATCCAGTCAGAAGGAGGGCTGTGAACAGGCGGCTCGAGTGGTGGCCCGAGCGGAAGCCTAAAAAGGAAAGCTGTCCAGCCAGACGGCTGTGAACAGGCGGCTCGAGTTGGCCGAGCTGAAGCACGGCCGCCTTGCGATGGCTGCGGTGGCTCTGCACTGGGCCACCAAGCTGGCTGGTGCGAGGGGCTCGGCGGCCGCAGCCTTGGCTGCCGGCGTGCCCCGCGGGGCGCTCACTTTCGCGCACCAGCTCTGGGGCGAGATTCGCCGAGAGTCGCCGAGATTCGCCAGATTCGCCGAGATTCGCCGAGATTAGCTCTGGAGCGAGCCGCGCGACTGCTTCACTGGTGGAGGTTTGATCGGCGTCTCTTCACAACTCCGGCCGTGAACAGGCGAGACTTGCGTCTACTCGGCCGCCGAGAGCCTGCGCAGTGTGCAGGGCGTCTGTATGCCGCAGTGGACGGCCGCGCCCTTCGACGCTGTGCTGTCGTACGAGATCCTCTTCCGCGTCCTCACGGGCTACTTCCGCGAGCCCTACTTCTGACACACCTCCTTAACGAGGTGAGACGAGACATAGTCAACGTCGGAATACGGATCCTCAAACGGCGCGCTGACGGCGCGTGGTATCTGGTAAGGTAAGGTAAGGTAAACTTCTCCACAAGGCGCGTGGTGATTTTGAGGGTGTTATAAAGCTAGAAGAGCATTGCGAATGTCGAATCTGTCGATTGGCTTGCGGCTTGCCGCAGATGCGCACATGAGCGGAGTGGCGGCGAGCGTTTGCTTGCGCGCGCTCGCGAGACGCGACGCCCAGCTCGACCCTCGGCCTCGCGCTAAATTACGCCCCCGATGGCGCGATGGACGGGAGAAGCATACAAGAAGGGGAGAGGGAAGAGGAGAGACGCCGGTGAGGACGAAGCAGAAACTAGCGCAGACGAGAGCAGGGCAGACCCGGGGACTGGGGAGCCGGAGCAGACGGCATCGGCCGCCGAGGGAACGTTGGGAAGAGGCACGAGGAGGGCGGCGACTTCGACCGACTATGGAGGACCCGTCGCCAGACGACGCAGGGCAGAAGACGGTGAGGCGGAGCAGACGCGCAGGGTGAGACGAGGGAGGGAGCAGGACTTTGCGGAGATCAGCAGGAGGATGTACGAAGAGATTAGGAGCAGCAGGGACCCGAGGGACCATGTGGAAGACGGCTAGTGCTAGTCCCCCATCGGGAGGACGACCCCGGCTAGTCGCCGACCACACCCACAAAGAACCCTGCACAAAGATCGCAAGGGCGGGGGCCTGTTCCTTTTTACCCATCTCACAGTAGAGAGGTGTCCGTTTTTATTTATTTATGGACGGGAGAGCGAGATGGCGACGGAGAGTCTTCGAGAGGATACAGCCGAGGTGCACAGCTGTTGAGAAGTTTACCTTTACACCTACCCGCGAGCAGACAGCGCCTGCTGGCCATCTCGAGACATTCGCAAAGAACGCTAGCTACATGGGAGGGCTTCGTGAAGGATGGATTGAAATACATTCGAACAAAGAAGAGGCGACGGGAGGAACCGGCAGAGGATGCAGTGACGTGACACACACACACACACACACACACACACACACACACACACACACACACACACACACACACACACACACACACACACACACACACACACACACACACACACACGCACACACACACACACACACACACACACACACACACACACACACCGCTCACCCACGCGCACCGGGCCTTGCACTTTAAATGCCGTGGGGCTCCTGTCGTTAGACGTGGAGACGCGAGGGTTGCCCCCCCTTGCCCCACCACCTCGTGTGTGTGGAGAAGTTTACCTTACCTTACCTTACCTTTACACCTTGCCAAAACGTTACAGCGGGCACCTAGGAGAGGTACCCCAACGCAGAGGCGGCAGCCGCTCTCTTTGGCTTCAACAACCTGAATGCGGTGGTGGACTCGATGATCGTCCTCGTTGCCATCGTGTTTCCAATTGCCATCGCCGGCAGCATCTTCGCCGTCCGCAACGTCGCAAAGGTCCCCACGATTCGCCTCGTCTCGAGCAATCAGGAGCCGGAGCTGACCTTAGCGCTGGGCCTTACGTGGCATCTCTTCAACAGCCACATCTGGAGCACCGGCCAGGCGAGGCAAGCCCGCCCTTGCCGCACACTTGCGCAGAGAAGCATACCGCACCTTACCTCGCCTAGGACGCCGCCGCGGTCATAAAAAACGAGCTCCAGCATCTGCTGCCGGGCATCAAAATCTTTCTCGACGTGGACGACCTCGACAACATTGGGGCGTTGGAGGAGTACATCAGCCGCTCACAGACGATCCTCTTCTTCCTCTCGAAAGGCTATTTTGGCTCCCATAATTGCCTTCGGGAGGTGCGCGCGTCGCTCGATCAGAAGAAGCCGCTCGTTCTCGTCCAAGAGGGGAACCTAGAGAAAGGCGGTACGCTCGCAGCGCTGCGTGCAGAGTGCCCCGGGCATCTGCGGGAAGCCATCTTCGACAAAGGCTGGTCGTTGACGACGTGGCACCGCATCGAGGCCTTCCAGCTCGTGTCGCTCAAGGTCATCACTGAGGCGCTGCCACACCCCTCCACGGCACCCTCCGCCCCCTCTCCATCCAAAATGCCTAGACTCGAATGACGTAGGCCTTGCTGCTCTGCTCGCCTGCCTATGAGGACGAGACGGCTCTGCCGCTCTACGTGCCGGGCGAGGCGCAGCGCGAGCACCTCGGCTTCCTCCAGCCGGTGGTGCTCTGGGTCTCGCCATCCAACTCGGGTGCAGTGTACTTGGTCAACGAGCTAAAGTCCAAGTTTGCGGCGGACACCCTCACCGTCGTCGTCGAAGACGAGGCGCCCACCCAGGAGTCTCGCAAACCGACCCACATGCTGCTCTATCTCAACGCCAATACCTGGTCGGGGGAACGCGGGGTGCGGCTCGCGGAGCAGGTCAAGCAGGCGCGCGCCGACAAGCTCACGATTGTGATGGCGCACGAGAACGACCCGACGCGCGATGGCTGTGCGTTTGACTGCATGTTCCAGACCACGCCGCAGGAGCTCATCGCCGGCCTCGATGGGCACCCGGGTCTGTACAAGGCCCTCGCCACATCCTTCTTTCCTGGAGCATTCCGCGAGGTACGTCCGCGCCTGCTTGGGCATACCGTGACGTGCTCCGAGATATGACGCGATGCGCTCACCTCTGTAGGTGTCGCTCGTGCTCCTGGCCAAGAAGCTCGGTGCGACTCCGGTGAGCGAAAACGTCAACGACGCGAGGAGCGGCGTCATCCGATACGCCATTCGCGGCCGGGTCAGCAATCGGGCCAGTACGCGCCGCAGCAGCCGCTTCAGCACCTCGGAACAAGTCGACGTCGGCCCCGAGGAATCGGCGCGGCAAGTGGTGTGAGGTACCTGCCGCGCGGAGAAGGCAGCTGTTGGATGTGGAGCGAGAGGAGTGTGTGTGTAAGTGCGTGCGTGCGTTGGGGCGGCACTGCTAGTGACAGCGGAGGCGGGAGGGGAGGTAAGGAGGTGGCCATGCCGCATGCGGGTGCCGGGGACTCCCCGGGGGGCACAGGGGATGTGCGGAAAAGTTTTACCTCACCTTTTACCTTACAACAGCCGCTCCCGCCCGACCGAGCACAGTGGACGCGCGAAGGCGCATACGGTGCTGCGGGGCCGAGAGCGCTGCAAGCTTTCCCCGACTGGGTCGTGGATCGCCGTGATCAGTTGTGCGCGCCTCAGCCCCCCGATCCGGGAAGGGTGGGATGCGTGTTCATGCAGTTGGGCGGTCCTCCGACCGCCCGAGCGCTTTCCCTCGGTCTGTTAAACCTGAGGTCGTGGCCGTTTGGGATTCTCAGCCCCCCGCCGCACTGGGAGAGGTAGGGCTCCGGCAAGCGCTTGGCGCGGCAGCGAGGTCACGCGGTGGTGACCTACGAGCGGGGATGGGAGACAACTTCAGTCGGCGGTCGGCGGCGCCAGGGGGGGGGGGGGGGGGCGGCAGGGGGCTACCCGGGTACCGACGGGGGCTGTGAGGGGCTGTGAGGGGCTGTGAGGGGCTTGTGGGTGTGTGTGGCGGTGCGGTGCTGGGTGGTAGTAGTGGCGGGTGTGGCTGGGGAGGGGGGCGCGCCTCGGCGCCGCTGATCTTGTCGACGTCGCCCGCGCGCGGCGACTCCGCGGCCACGGGCGGGTACCCCTCGAAGCGGTAGCCGGAGCGGAACCACGGGATGTTGGCGGCGAGGGTGACTAGCCTACGTGCGGAGTCCGCAAACGTGAGGGCGGGAAGGCGGTCTTGTGCAGTGTACTCAGAGCACCGCGTGAATGCGGGGGGCTGCGAATACAGTCGATACAGCGGAATACGACCGGCTACGGCGGAGTACGTGCCCTCTCGGGCGCTAGTTGGGAGACAAGAATACGCAGTCCGCTTCTAGGATGACGAGCCCGGAGGCGAGGGGGGTCACGAGGAAGGCGACAATCGACGTGTCCGCGTAGAGGCCTGACACGCCCGCAATGTCGGGGATCAGCGTCTTGAAGTCGTCCGGCTCGCCGTCGACGGCGAGGCCGTAGATGAGGAGGGCGGTGCCGGCGCCCGCGAGGCAGCCCGCCGCCGCGGCAGACGGGTGGATGCGGTCGTTCAGGCCCATCAGGACGGGGACGACGCAGGTCGCGCAGACGAGGTCGGCGAGGACGAAGAGCGAGAGGACGGAGAGGTGGGCGTCGCCTGTTCACGGCGAAGTGGTGTGAAGAGACGCTGCTCACAGCCCGACCGAGGGCGGGTGCGGAGCGCGTCGCCGCGGTGCGTCGAGATGACGATGGCTGGCACGTTGACGACGACGGCGGCGAGCACAAAGTTGAGTGCCACGATGGTGCGCGGCGCCTCGGCTTCCGAGGGGAGGGCCTTCCAGTCGCGGACGAGGACGTACGTCGTAAAGGGCTTGAAGATGGCCGCCACGCCCGTCTGGATGGTGTCGGCGGACGATGCGACCATCATCGTGGTCAGGATGACGGCGCACACCTGCCAGCCGACGTTGAGCTCGTTGAGCGCGTAGAAGCCGGCGAAGGAGGGGAACTGGGGGAAGAGGAAGGGGCCGTACTCGCGGTACGAGACCATGCCGACCACGCCGTACAGGACCATCAGCGGGATCGTGAGCAGGATCCCGCCGATCGCGCCCTTGCGCAGCTTGGCCTGGTCCTCGGCCGCCCACACGCGCTGCTGGAAGCCAGAGTGCATCATGTTGGCGCACGTGACGGCGGAGATGAGGATGAAGGCCATCTTGAAGGAGTTGCCGTAGGTGGAGCCGCCCGCGCCCGTGGCGGCCGGGTCGCCCGTCCCGGTTGTGGTCACCTCCTCCCAGCGGTCGCTCCGCCCATCCGCACCGCTGTCCGCCGTGAAGGCGGCGATGCACACGAGGAAAGTGAAGAGGAAGATGCCGACCCCCTGCACCTTGTCGGTGACGAGGGAGACGGGGAGGCCGGCGATCGCCGTGTACAGCAGCGTGCAGAGCGAGACGCCGAGGACGAGGCCCAACTTTAGGCGGTGACCCTTGTCGGTGACGCCGCCCGCGGCGGCCGCGTCGTACACGTCCGCCGGGTCGCAGAGGGCGAGGACGGCGTCGCCAATGGCGGAGAACTCGGCGGTGAGGTAGAGGCAGAGGTAGAGGAGCGAGACGAGCGTGCAGTACACGTTCACCAGCGAGCCGTACCGCAGCTGCACGTAGTCGGAGAAGGTGCAGCCAAACGGCAGGTGCTTGCGCATGATCGGGCCGATCCAGCCAAAGATGGCGATGGGGACGAGGGTCGAGAGGGTGTAGCCGGCGAGGGCGACCGGCCCGCCGATGATGCTCGCCTCGGGCACGGTGAAGAGCACCCACGCGCCTGCGCCCGAAGCGAAGAAGGAGAGCGAGAGCGAGACGATTCCCTGCGAGTTGCGCGCCGTGAGGTACTGATCGGCGTCCTGTGTAGCGCTGCGGAGGAAGCGGTAGCCGATGGCGAGCGAGATGCAGAGAAACACGGCGAGAGTGCCGTACACGGCCCCGTACGCGCCACCCTGAGAGACATAGTCGGCCGACATGTCGGGCGACGTACACGTGCTGCGGGAGATCTCCGGAGATACTGCCCACGTTTTGCGCCGACTTTGCTTCTTCAAGCGAAAAAAAAAAACTTGTAACGTGCGGCGGCCTGACGCCGCTCTCTGCCCTCTCGACAACCACCAGCGAGCACCGATCCGCAGCCCGGGGCCACGCGGCCGGGCACCAAGCCTTCGATGGCGGCCTCACCCGCCATCAAACTGAGAGAGCCTCTCGAGGCTCTCTTCAGGAATGCGGGCGTTCCTGACGACTTTTACCGCAGATACAAGGAGCGGCTGCTGGACATGGACGTGGGCGATGCTGGCGACCTCCTCGAGGAGGTCGCTTTGAAGGGCATCGCCTCGCTCTGCATCCAGCAGCGCCAGGCGGAGAAGCTCCGCCGGTATCTTCTCGGCCGACGGGGCTGGGAGGATGCAGCTGCTGTTTTGGCATCCTTTGGCCGCCTGTCGCTGGACGACACCCCTCCTGGGGTGGCGGCTGGCGACCAGGCGGCTGGCGGCGCGGCTAGCGCGTCCGCTCTCGACGGCATGGACGTCGACGGCGGCTACGCGAGCGCCGAGGAGGATGCCGGGCCGGCCGGAGGTGGGCCCGCAGCTGCGGCAGGCTCCAAAATGGAGCCTGGCTGCCCGCGCAGCGGCGCTGGTACGAGCGCGGCTGCTGCGGGCGGCGAGGGGGCGGTGGCTGGCAGCGTGGGCTGCGGCGGCACGCGCACCCCAGAGGCGGAGAGCGGCGCCCGCGAGGCGCGGGCCGCAGTTGTTGCTGGCGGAGGTGGACCCGCTGTGTCTGTTGACACATCGGATTCTACGCCGCCGGCGGAGGGTGGAGAGGGCGGCTGCCCTCGCTCGCTGCTTGATCCTGGACGTGCCCACGTTTGCGTGACCGCCGGCATTAGTTCGCCCGAGGCATTGGCCTCGGGGGAGGCCTGCGCTCCGTCTTTTTCTTCTTCTGTGCGGCCACGGGATCCGGCGGTGGGCGGGTCGACTGCTGAGGCGATCGCGGAGGCGGCGGTCGAGGCCGTCTACGGGGCACTAGTGCTGGAGGCGCTCGAGGAGTGGGCTGGCGCGAGCGCGGGCAACCCGCTAGACCATAATGTTACTTCCTTGCATTTACTATACAAACCGGTCTCATGACACTGCGCAGGCCACTCGAAGCGCTCCGCGGGACGCGGGTGCAGATGAGAGTGTTGAGGAAGGGCATGGCGGCGCGCGCCGACCCGTTGCGGGCGACGCGGGGCGCCGGGCCGGCGTAGGGGCGCGCATTACTGCAACGAGCAACCACGAAACGCCGTGAGGACCTCTCGCCAGGTGTGAGGGGACCTCTCTCGGCGCCGGCGTGAGGTGAGGTCGTGAGGACATCCTGGCGGTCTAACTCTTTCCAGGCTTAAGCTTCTCGTCAGTAGGGAGCATTTGGCGAGGAGCGGTAATAATTTTTGCGAAACATCTAGTGAGTAGTATATAGTCGCGCAGCCTCTTCTTGGCGTGAGGACCTCATGGCGTGAGGACCTGTTGGCGTGAGGACCTCTTGGCTGGTGTGAGTTTCTCGTAATAGCAGTCCAGCTGTGAGTCCTGTGCTGGGTGGCCGTGGGCGGCACGGCAGCAAGCAGCAGCGCCGGGCGACGACGACTTACCGCCTCCCGGTCCCCCTCCAGAGTCATAATAGTTCATCCCAGTACTGTGTACAGCAAGCATGCGAGAGTGCACCGACAGGCTGCTGCTACGAGTACGACTACTGGAGTTGTAAAGTGTCTTCATGACTCTACTCAGTAGACGCTGACGTTGGCGAACAGCGCCTGTTCGCCCCCCGCAGGCAGTGTACATCGTCCCAACAGACACGCTCCACTGGACGGACTCGCCGCTCTTCGCGGCCCTTTTCGTGCTGGCCGCGCCCATCACCGCTCCCGTCGCTAATGTCTGGTACACGCCTCGCGCTCTACTGGACAGGCTCGCCGCTCTTCGCGCTGCTGGCGGTGGCGCCTCCTGGCTCACTGCTGCTCTCCCTGGATCTCCTTCCATTCTGCTCGCCCGCCTTCTTCCTCGCGATCGGTGGTTGGGCAACCGCCGCGATTCTCTGCCTGGCAAGCACACTCGGCTTGTGCATGGCGACTTCTTCGCGGCGTGTGCCTTCGCGGCGCGTGGCTCGCTTAGGACTTCGCCTCGGGGCCTCCCAGCAGAACTCTTCGTCCTCCGGTCCACCCTCGCCTCCTCCCCCTCTGCCGTCGGCCGAGCAGGAGCAGCTCGACGGCGCTGGCGCGACCGCGCCATCGCCGCCGCTTATCGCTCACCGCGACCGCTTATCGCTCGGCGGCGATGGCCGCCGCCGCCGCCGCGACCTCGACGCGACTTCGCCATCGCCGCCTGCAGGGGAGGCTGGGTGGGGCCGCTGGTCGCTGCGCGGATCTGCGCTGCGCTTTGAGCTTCGCGTACCGATTCTGACGCGTGCGGCCGACGTGAGGTGCGAGTGTCTCGCCGGGTGGAGCGGCGGGCCACGAGGGGGGGGGCTCCTCGACGTGCGCGTGAAAGACGAGCAGCTGCTAGGGGGTCGGCTTGTGGCCGGGTCCTCTCAAGTGGTGCGGCCGACCGAGCTCAGCTGGCTGCTCGACACGTCGGCGGAGGGCGAGAGGTGTAGCTCGGCCCCAAGTGCCGGGCGCTTCCCCGCGGCTATTCTTCACCGTCCTCTCCCTCCGTCGCCACGCAGGCTGCTCTGCGTCGAGCTGCCGGTTCGTGCGCCGCCGCCGGAGCAGGAATGGGGCCCGAGTGGAAGACTGCGGCGGCGCGGGCGGAGGCCTCCGTCCCGGCCGCCACCGACGGCCATCTTTCGATCGCTCCGCGTGGCTGGCGAGGACGTTGGCGAGCCGCTCCTAGTCGTGGGCAACCAGAGCAGCATCTCGAGCCAGTCGCTCGCACTCAAGCGCCTCGAAAGAGTCGACGCAGCAGGCCCGGGCTCTTCTCTTTTTGTGCGAATTTGGTTCTTCTTTCTTAGGCGCCTCAAGCTTGTCAGCCTGGCGCGGCTGGAGGAGGCGTTCGCGGCAAGGCCCGCCGGCCTCGTCCTCTCGCAGCTCTTCTCGACGGACGAGTTCCTCTTCGAGGCGGACAGCGAGACGGCCGACTTTGCGCTGGTGTCCTACCGGCAGGCGCGGTCTTCCACCCTGACCCGCGCCACTACCCCTCTCTTTGTAGCCGCCCCCACTCTGCGCGGGCGGTGGGTGGCGGTGGCGGCGCCGGCCGCCGCGCCCGCGACGGCGGCGGCCGCAGGGGCGGCCGATTTCTCGACCACTGTCCGCTTGGTTTAGGCGCGGGCCGACGACGGCACGACGATCGACGAGCGCATCCTCAGGGCTGTACTGCTCAAGGCGAGGGAGGCGGGTGTGGCGGCGCTCTGGATGGACGCGTGGTGCTTCCGCTTCGCCGGCGAGTACGTCCACGAGGACTTTTGCGCGCTCCTCTCGCACGTCGTGCGGGCGGTCCGCGCCGTGATTTGGGTCCCCCTTAGCCGGGTGAACACGGCGCCTTCGTTTCAGTTCCGAATGTGGTGCACCTTCGAGGCGGCCGTCGTGGAGCACCGTCAGCTACCCGTCTTCATTGCGGGCGAGCTGACGGCCTCGCAGCGGCGCCTGGCCCGCCTCGGCCCTCGCACCTTTGCGCTCCCCTGCCTCGAGCCGCGCGCGACGCTCGCGGAGCTGCGCATCCTCTCGACCTTCAACGTGTGCTTCCTCTTCATGGCGATCGCGTGTCCGCTCGCCCTGCTGCCGCTCTTCTTCATGTCCCGCTCGGCTGCGCTGGCCGAGCTGGTGCCCGCCCTCGGTCGCCAGTTCGCCCTAGCGCGCAACGGGCAGCGGGTGCTGCGCACGCTGCTCCAGGCCTCCCGAGAGGCGGACAGCCGCATGGAGGAGGGCGGCTCAGGGGCGAGATGCTCTCCTTGTCGCCCTCCCCATAAGCCTTCTCCGAACCTTCTCACAGGCGCTCGGCAGCACAGACGCTGAGGCGACGCGGCGCGCGGGCAACGTGCTCGAGCTGCTGCGAGATCTGCCGTGGATCCCCGCCTACGACCGCCGCGACGCTCTCGTCATCGCCGAGGTGCTCATGGTCCTGTACGAGGTGCCGCCGCGCAAGCTCGCGGCGGCACAGAAGATACAGGCCTTCTGGCGCGGCTACCGTGAGAGGGCGGCGCGAACGGCGCGGCTGCAGAGTGAGGACAGCCTGCAGGGTAAGGACAGCATGCACAGGAGTCGGGTCAGCCAGGCGGGAGGCCGCTCGCTGGAGAGGGTCGGGAGCGGGGCCAGTGAGCGCAGCCTGCAGAGCAGTCTGGCCAGCCAGAGCCACAGCAGGGGACAGAGCCGCAGCCAGCGCAGACAGCGTGCGGCTTGGTCGCCGCTCTGGCCTGAGTCCCTCGCGTGGGACCGCGTCTCGTCCGACGAGTTTCTGCGCGCGCTGGCGCTCTCCCTCTTCGTCTCTGCGCGGCAGGCGCGCTCGGACGGCGATTGGCCCTTTTCCAAGGGCGGAGAGGGGGTGCTGCTCGAGGAGTGGCTCAATCAGACCGGACACCGTATGCCGCCGCCCGCCACTGCCAGCTGCGCCGCCTCCGTGTCCCTGGCGGAGCTCGATCGCTTCGGCTGGCGGGTGCGCTCTGGCGACTCGCACCTACTGAGCACCCCGCTGGGCAAGCTGCAGGTTCCAGCGAGCCGCGCGTCGGCGAGCGTCAGCTTCGCCGACGCGTCGCCGGTGCCCGAGCTCAGCGCGCTCGCCCAGGTGCGCTCTCATCCACGGGACCTGCACCTTCAAGGCCGTGGGGCTCCTGTCTTGGGGCGTGGAGTCGCGAGGGATAGCCTGGCCCTGGTGGAGAAGTTTACTTGCCCTTCCCCTTGCCCTCGTCCAGACGGCGCCGCTCCTCTTCTTCGCCGCGGTCTTCTCCCTCTACTTTGTCGACCTCTCCACAGAGCTCATCATCAACGCCGTCGGGTCGCGGGCGCATGGCTGGAGCCGCGTGCCCGAGGCGCGAGAGAGATGCGAGGGAGAGGCCGCCGCTTGCCCCACACTAGCGTGTGGACAAGCGCACCTCGCCCCACATCACAGGCGCTCCTCGCAGCTCTGGACGGCCTCCTCGTCGTCGTGGCCGCCTGCACCATCTGGCTGCCGGCCGCGCTCTGCACGTGGCGACTACGCGCCGTGCCACATGAGTCGCTCGCTGCGGTCTTCTCCCCTCGCCAGCGCGAGTCCGCCATCGCCCTTCTCATCCCGGCCGTTCTCATCCCGGCCGTCCCGTCCAGCTTCGTGGCCATCCTCCTCGTCGTGATTGCTTGGGCGGAACGGCAGCCGCTCTCCTCGGATCACCTCACGGTAGACACGTGCCTCCCCGGCGGACTCCGGCCCGCGCTCCTCGGCGGCGTCCTCGCGCTGCTCGTCGCGATAAACGCCGTGGCGGCGGTCTCTGCCTTCTCGCTCGCCTACCACCGCTGGGCACGCCACCTCCGTGAAGGCCGCCCCGATGCGCCAGAGTTGGCGTTCCTGACATTCCCACGCACTGGCCGGGGTGGTTCTGTGAGTGCTGTGTGACATATAGCCATATACACAGTTCAGAGCGGGGCGCCACCATGATCATTGTGTATAGAGTAGAGTGATACAGGGGTACACGACACGAGACCGGGAGACGGCGTTCCTAACCTGTTCCTAACGTGCCTCTCAGATTGGACAGACCCAGTGAGATCGAGATCGGGCACAGCTTATTGTCTAATAGTCAGTTTAGTCATGAATGTGTCGCTGTGTGGGTGTGCATGGTCTCCACCCCAAATTCTTTTTTGAGCGCGACGTATGGGGTTGCTCGCAGCTGGGTGTGACGCGACCGCGCCGCCGCGAGGCTCGTGGCGATGGAGTCTAGAGGAGGCGCCAGCGCCGCCTTGCGCCGCCTCCCTCAACGCCCGACACTCGGTCGAGGCTGGCTCGAACTGCTCGAGGCCAGCTGCCTGACTCGCCAGTCGCTCCTGACCACACGCGTTGAGGGGCGCGTGGACATGTTAGCCCTCGGCAGCTGCGATGCCCACACACCTGTCGCACGGATCCAGCGGTGGTGGCGATATGCTGCTCGGCGAGCCAAAGAGAGCGTGCCACCGAGAGCGTGCCACCGAGAGCGTGCCACCAAGAGCGTGCCACCTAGAGCGGAGTGCGCCGCCCTCCGCAGCGGGAGTCGGTTGCGGGTGGTGCAGCGGCGCCGTGATAGAACAACAGGCGCCGGCTCGGCACGCCGAGTGCACACGCGACGCGTCGCGCGTGCACGCACTGCTCGTGCATGCAGCGCCAAACAGCGTCCGCCGGCGCAGACTGCCGCCCAGAGGAGCCCGTGCCGACTCAACAGTGACGCCTGCGGCAGCTCGAGCGGCTCAGCGCGAGTGCCGGCTCACATCCGGTCGGCGCACAATTCTTGGGATGCCAGGCTCACCGTCGGCGAGAGCAGCCGCGAGCGACACCACGTTGAGCCAAGGCAACGCTTTCTCCCGTGGCCGCCGCGGCTAGTTTCCGCCACGCGGCGGGGTGCGGCGGAGGCCGGCGTGCGCCGGCCGCGCTCGAGACCAGCCGGCGGCCTGGGAGGGCTCTCACGAAGCTGCGAGCCCTCGGCGAAGCGAAGCGTCCGCCGGCGCCGAGAGGCGATTCACGCGTGTAATGTGTGAATGCACAAACCAGTGGCTACGAAATGGTGGGCACGCGTGTGTCGTGGCGGACTGCTCTGGTTTGGAGGCTCCAGCGAGTTTTGTGGAGAGCGCATCGAGATTCAATCGAGATTGCGGAGCTACGTCGAGGTCAAAACGTGCAGGTGTGAGGCCGCTGGTGCCTCCACGTCCCTTGGAGACGACCCCACTGCCCTGGGGCGTCTTGATACGATCAAGGGCGAGCACACGAAACGGTGGCACAAGGGAGGGTTTTAGCTCAAAAATCGCCCCCAGCTCAAATGCACTGCCCAAGTGGCGCAGATCCTGCCCACCGCACCCCATGCCGACCCTCCTAGCGGGTCGGCGCCAGTTTTTTTGAAAAATTAGTTTCTCGTGCGGGTTTGCCGTTAGTGGTGTGTGGAGAAGGTTGCGGTACGCGTACAGTTTTCGTTAGCGCGAGGGTTGTTGCACGAGTATATGGGCCAAAAGCGTCGAAAATGTCCCAAAAAGCGTGTTTCGAGTTTGTGGCAGCTCCGCAGCCAGCGCGGGCTGCCGGGACGCACCACTTGCTGGATCTGTGCACTCCCTGGGACCCAGGGAGTGCACAGATCCAACAGGAGTGAGTAGGCTCGACGCCGTACTCGAGATGGAGCTGCCACAAACTCGCCGCCGAGCGTGCCACCGACGGCGTCCCGTCGGAGGTGATGGAGTGTGAGACCTGAGGCTGCGGAGGTGACGCCTGAGGTACCGGCCCGTGCACAGCGACTCAGCCGGCGACCGCCACGGGCTCAGACGAGACTTGTCGACTCGTTCCAGCTCAGCTTCACCGTGGTCCTCGGGCGTCTGTCGACGTCAGGACCACCCATACAGCTCGCGGGTTTGAGGTCGCAAGAGCCAAGATGGTGGCGTTAGGACATCCCAACCATCACACAAGACAGCCTGTAGGTGATGGCGGGACGGCGCAGTGTTTGTGGCACTCGGCAGTAGGCACCCGCGGCACGGCCCCGCTGTTGGCTCTCGCGGGCTGCGGAACCGGCCCCAGAGGGGGACGGTCCGGGCGAGTGTGGCAGCTCCTGCGCTAGTATGGGCAGCCTCTATCATAGCACTACTGATCCTGGTCATTAGAGCTGCCAGGGATAGCGTCAGGAGCCGGTAGGAGTCAAAACCCCTCATATTTGAGACATCGTGGCCCATATACTCGTGCAACAACCCGCGATCTCCATACCCGGGCATTTCAACAAATCGTCATGTCTGCTCATTTTCACAGAATGCGGCGAGGTCCACCGGAGCCGCGCGGCCGCTCCCCTCCAAGACTCGCTCGCGCAATCGCAGCAGCCGCGCGACGCAGCGCCGCGGCACCTCCTCCACCTAAGGGAAAATCCAGTACACTTCTCCACACACACGCAAGAGGTGTGGTGCGGCAAGGGGCGGCAACCCTCTCGACTCCCCGTCTAAAGGAGGCCGGCAAGCAGTGCAAGGCCCAGTGCGCGTGGTGGGTCGTCCACACACCTCCCCCGGCCGCAGCTCGCCGAGCTCGAACGGCCCGTAAGCGTCGCGCACGAGCCTAAGGGCAAGTGAGGTAAGGTCAGGTAAACGTCTCTCACGCCAAACACAAACACGACTCTCTCTCTCTCTCTCTCTCGCTCTCTCACGCCGCCGCCAGCCCACCACCACACGGGGACTCTAAGAGAGGAGTGTGTACACTTCTCAGCTTCTCCACTTCTCCGACGCACATGGGGTGGCGGGGCAAGGGCCAGGCTAGTCCCTCGCGTCTCCACGTCTAGACGACAGGAGCCGGCACGGCATTGAGTGTGCAAGGCTCGGTCGGCGGGATCTCTATAACTGCTTCCCAGCAGGCGTGGCAGCGGGGTCTCTCTTCCAGATCCCATCTCTCCATCCAGCAGGCGTGGCAGCGGAGTCTATCTGCGGGAACCCCTTCTCTCTCTGCATCTCAGCCTCACGCCTCGAGACGACGAAGCCAAAGTGCTGCCACGCGCGGCGCACCTGGCGCAAGGAAGTCAACCTGGACTTACTCATCAACCAATAGCAGCGGCAGCTGCTGCTGTTACCTCTCGGGTCTTGCCCTCAACGAGGGTCATCCGAACCCACTCGTGCCCCGCCGCCGCCGGCTGCAGCGGCGTGCGCACCGCCTATCGGGGGTGGGTGGGTGGGCGGGTGGGGGGGGGGGGGGGGGAGGCAGCGGGGAGGAGAGGGAGGAGGGAGGAGGGGAGGAGAGGGAAGGCAGTGGAGAGGAGAGGGAGGAGAGGGAGAGGAGGGGAGGAGAGGGAAGGCAGTGGAGAGGAGAGGGAGGAGAGGGAGGAGGGAGGAGGGGAGGAGGGGGTAGGAGTGCCCTGATCGGCCGAAAGCGAGTCTGGTCGCGCAGCGTGAGCCTACACCCGCTCATCAACAACTGTCAGACTAGCTGAAAACTAAAACATGGAAGGATTTGTCTGGTCGCGCAGCGCGAGCTCATCAGCAACTGTCAGACTAGCGGAAGCCCACGTTGCGAGGACGCCAGGTGTGTCTCGCCGCAGAGCACACGAGATATGGGGAGATGTGGGGAGATGTGGGGAGATGTGGGGAGAGATGGGGAGAGATGGGGAGAGATGGGGAGATACGGGGAGAGATGGGGAGAGGTGGGGCGAGAGTCTGACTCTAGTAGAGCCAGCCCTGCGTGTGAAATACGCCAACCTCAGGGCGGGAAGACGGTATTGTGCAGCGTGTTCAGAGCACGGCGTGAAGACGACGGAGAGGAAGACAGTGAATGCAGCGGAATACGGGTGAACACAGTTGGGAGACAAGCATCCGTATTCTGACTCTAGCAGCGCCAAACCCGTCGCCCATCGCCCGCAGCATCGCGCCGGTGACGCCGCGCTCCTACGTACACGAGATCTGGGGAGATATGGGGAGATATGGGGAGATATGGGGAGATATCATCGCGCCGGTGACGCCGCGCTCCTACTTGGAGGAGTACGTGTCCTCTCGGGTGCTAGTTGGGATACGAGAATGCGGTATTCCGCTTCTAGGCATGAGATATGGGGAGATATGGGGAGATATGGGGAGATGTGGGGAGATATGGGGAGATACGGGGAGAGATTCCTGTCCGGTGCATACGAGCGCGCGGTACTTGCGCTCGAACGCGTTCGAGGGAAGCTCGAGCATCCTGCGCCAGATATGGGGAGATATGGGGAGATGTGGGCAGCTCGAGCATCCTGCGCCAGGAGACGGTGCAGGGGAGCTCCGGACGAGGTGGCGCGGAAGGCGCCGCACGGACGGTTCGGAGAAGGGGCGTCTGGAAAGCGCCTCGCTGTGTGCGTGAGTTGATACGGGCTGGAGCACGCCGCACAGCAGGCGTCAGGCGTCCAGGAAGTGCTCCGAGAGGCGTGTCTAGGGAGCACGCGCCGTGCAAGCGGGCCAGAGTTCGTGAGCAGCAGCAAGCCCTCGCTCCGAAGATCGAGCCGGCCGACGGACAGCACGCGAGGCAGCCAGCCAGGCAGCGACGCGAACACCGTCGGCCTGCCCTGTGGGTCTGAGGCGGTGGTGATGAGGCCATCCGGCTTGTGAAAGCGCCACAGTCGCGGCGGTGCCACCTCCAGCGGCGTCAGCTCGCCGTCGACCGTCACGCGGTCCGACTGACGCACGCGCGCCGCCGGGTTGCTAACCTGGACTCCGTTGACGCACACGCGGGCGTCGGCCGTCATCCGGTTCGCCTCGCGGCGAGACCAGCGCCCGGTAGCGGCGAGCGCCTTTGCGAGGCCGCGCTGGAGGTGGGACATATACACACTCACATACAAAGATCGCCCGAACGAATTCTCGCCGAGACAATCGTCGCGGGTACGCGCACTCCACGTTTGGCTTCCTGCAGCCGGCCAGAATGGTCTCGGAAGGCAACGGACCAACTGTGAGCCGCCAGAGAGATAGGGAGGGCGGCGGAGGTGTGCCGAGGGGGACCGGGAGGCGGTAAGCCGTCGTCGCCCGGCGCTGCATGCAGCACCGTGGCGATGGCGCTAAGAGGTTCCTCTTTTCCGCGCCCCCCCCGCAAGGCGCGCGATACACAGAGGGGTGTAGGCACAGGTGAGCCAGGGACAGCCCTCCGTCCGGTGTAGGGAAAGGCGCACGAGATGGGACATTTGCACTGCCACGACCGTCGACCCAGCCACGCGTCACCACCGCAGCTCTTTGCTCCTCTCAGAGCAACTAACACTAATCACTATCGAGAAAAAGAACTTTACTCGCAACGGCGCTGCATCAGGAGCACTACCCGTCTGCGCAGACCAATGCTGTTACAACTAACTTTTGTTCGCGGAGGACGGCTTCCACTCTAATTTTAACCAGGCCTTGAGGATGGCTTAGTTAGTTAGCTGGACTGGTCGATGTGCGGTCTGTGTTTTCCCCTTACGAACCCTGCCAGGTAAGCTTCGTGACGTAAGAGGCGTGGTAACCACATGAAAACTTGAAAAGATAGAGGTGATCAGCCAGAGGTCCTCACGGGAGAGGTCCTCCTCACCTCAGAGGTCCTCACAGGGAGAGGTCCTCAAGGGAGGAGCGGAGGTCCTCAACCACAGAGGTCCTCAGGAACACTGCTCACTCGCATAGCCGCCGTCCTGCCACTTCAAATCAGCGTCCTCGACGCACCGGACCGTCCAGGCCTGACCAATTTACAGGGCCTCGCTCTCGACTGCTAGCTATGAACTTCTTGGACGAGCGGCGCGCGTGGCGCGGCGTGCACGTGCTCGCGTCTCGACCTGGTAATCTAAGACAAGGGGATGGATCAAAGACATTTCAATTGCATTTGCACTCGACGACAACAACGCAAAGCCCGTTTGTTTCAAAAATGAACTGTACTCGGGGGCACGGGACGCGGCACAAACGGGGCACAAACGAATTCTCGCGCGCTTCGCACCACCCACCCCACCCTCCGCAACGCCCCACCCGACCCAACCCACCCTCCGGCTCCCCAAAGCCGCGATCGGCTCCGCCCCCCTCCCGATCCCCCCTCGTGCGCTCGCCGCCCGCGCCGCCGCCTCCCCCATCCGTGCCACGGACTGCCTGCCAGTCATGTAGGAAGGTGAAGAACCGTGTTTGTTATGACCCCCCCATTGAACACACCAGTGAGGGAGGGCGAGACGGTCGAGCGAGGGGTCCCGTACCATGCGGAATCGACCCTAGTATTCAGTGCTCAAGTGCTCAAGGTGAAGAGCGGTGTCTTGCGAGAGAGTTGTGGCGTAAGATTGGTAAATTCGTTGGTAAAAGAGCTACACTAAAAGTACGAAAATTTGGACGGACGGAAAAACACCCCCCTTTTATGCCTGACCCTGGCCATGGCCTCTCTGGGGGTGAGCTGGGCCGGCCGCCTCCGGGTCCCCCACTCGCACGGCGGGCTCGCGTCCGGGAGAGCATCCGAGACCCGCGGTTGTCCGCTCGCTGGGCGCGACCTACATGGAAATCCACTGCACACAGATCTGTGCTTTTGGCGCCTATTGCTCGCTCTCTGTGCAATCGCAACGCCAGAGGCCGTGCTTGGAGAGTGTGTCGCAGTGCTGCTACGTCAGTGGATTGAGCCGCGACGCAGGCTCCATCGGTGAGCTGCGGCGGCGCACCGGCCGCTCCATGCATGCTCTCGGGCGAGCCGTCGCAAACGCGTTTCCGTCCGCCCGTTTCATCGAGTTTGCCCGAGTGGTAAAATGCAATCGAATCTGCCCGAGTGGTCAAGTAAAACTTTGCTTTTCGAAAAGTTGCCCGAGTGAGGGCGGAGAGGTGCTCGCGCGCTTCCGCGACGGGTGCCCATGGTAGAGGCTAAAAAGTCATGTTCACTATGCATTGGCCGCCGAGCTCCGGGCCCGCCGGCTTAACGAGGAGCACGGCACCGTTTGCACAACGAGCTTGGGGTCAAAGTTGCGCACGACGCGGTTGCAGTCAACTCGTCGACTCCTAGGCTTTTGGCTTCCACGCAGGCTCTGGTGTAGACGGTGCACTCCTCTTCTTCCATGTTGACGGACGACGCTCAAGTTTCGATGGACGGGCGGCACGACGCTCGAGATGACGCTGATGCGGTCCAAGCATCCGCGGGAGTACGTACTCCCGACCGAGGCTCGTGCTTGCGAATTCGGCTGTGATCAATTTCGCGCTCGTCGCCCACTGCGTCACACTTCTCAACGATACCGTAGCAGGGCTGAGTCGGCGACGCCGGCGTCGCCGTGGCTGCCCGCCGCGTGCATGGTCCGCGTACTCGCGGCGCTCGCCCCTTCGCCTGGTATCGCACCTATGTGCGCAAGCAGCCCGAGGAGCGAGGTGCTGCGCGTAGCGCACCGCTGCCTCGCGCACTGGAGGCCCGTTCGTGCGGCTGGTATCAAGCAGCCCGAGGTGCTGCGCGCAGCGCACCGCTGCCTCGCGCACTGGAGGCCCGTTCGTGCGGCTGGTATGGTGATAAGACAGAACGGCCCCAAAAATCTCGGCCCCCGGAACGCGCGGAACCGACCCGTGGGCCCGTCTGCCGCACCCAGCTCCGCCGGGAGGGGCGCGCGCCGTTCTCCGCGGAGCTCGGGCGGGCCACGAAGACAAGGCGGGAGAGCTTCTAACTTGTGCCCTGTGAGTGCCGCCACACCGCCTCAAATAGGTCCCAAAGTGGGGTTTGCCTCAAGTGCCGCACACCTCACACCCCCCCAAGCCTCATTCTCCGCAGCACATGCAGTGCAAGCTGTGCTGCCAAAGCGAGACCGATCGCGCACAACGTGTGTGGTGTGAGCGGTTGGTGGTGCCGCTCACGGCCGCTGCCGCCATTGGCTCAACGCGCCATGCTCACAACCCGCGGCCGTCCCTCTCACGCAATCCGCACCGCGGCGGCGCCGGGGCGGTGCCGACGAGACTGCCTCGCCACCAACTGCCGAAGGTCGTCGACCGACTCGAGCGAGCCTTCCCCGCACAGCTCGGGCAGCAGCCACGTCGCGATGCCTAGAAGAGAGCAACGCGGCTCAAGAAAAGAACTCATCGCGGCGAGCGGACAGCCACCGTCGCCACGCCTAGAAGAGGAAATGCGGCTCGCCAAAGGAAAAGACAGCGCGTCGGGCAGCCAGCGTCGCCACGCCGGCGAGGAGAGACAGGGCGCCCCAGACCGCGTAAGGGACGGGCGGCGAGCGGTCGCCCGCGAGCAGGAGCAGCGGCGAGAGAAAGCCGCCGATCCGGGCGACCTGCAGAACTTCGTTCAAGCCGTAAACTGGTCTGGCGGCCTGGCTGCAGAGCGAGATGTGGGGAGATGTGAAGAGATATGGGGAGAGATGGCGAGAGATGGCGAGATATGGCGAGATACGTCTGGCGGCCTGGCTGCAGAGCGAGATGTGGGGAGATGTGAAGAGATATGGGGAGAGATGGCGAGAGATGGCGAGAGATGGCGAGATACGTCTGGCGGCCTGGCTGCAGAGCGAGAAGCTGGGAGATAGATGGCGAGATACGTCTGGCGACCTGGCTGCAGAGCGCCAGCCCAGTCGCGCGGACGTCGGTGGGTAGCACCTAAGGGCACAGCCCCGGTCCCACGATCACGCACACGGCATCACCCTCAAGCACAGACACAGCCCCGGTCCCAAGATCACGCACACCCGAGTCGAGAGCAGACAGAGAGCGACGGCAGTCGGACGGCGCCACTGGGTAGGAGGAGGCCGAGCGTGAGATCAGCCTCTATGCGTGCGAGCTCTAGCCAGCACCTACCCGCCCGTCTAGGAAGTGTCTAGGAAGTGTCTAGGAAGCCAGCACCTCTGCTGAGAGCACCTACCCGCCCGTCTAGGAAGTGTCTAGGAAGTGCCTAGGAAGCCAGCACCTCTGCTGAGAGGACGTACCCGCCCGCAAACGCGCACGAGACGCAGACCGTTCCCAGCGTAGAGATGGCGGCGTGCAGGGAGCCCTCGCCGCCGCCTGGAAAAAAGAAAAGGCGCGCACACTGAAAAGAAAGCTGCGGGGGAGGGTGGCGTGGACAGAGCCCTCGGCGCCGCCGCCCCCGCCCCCCGCCCCGCCTCCGCCGACGACCGCTGTCGCGGCGCACGCGGCTGCCGCGACCAGCAGCAGCGCCGACATTGTCGATCGGCGACCGAGCACCTCGGGAAATCGAAGGGAAATCGTGGCTGCAGAGACGAAAACAAGGCCGCGCGCGTCGGTGGGCGGCCGAGCAGCTCGAAGGCGCAGCTGGTGTGGGAGAGATGGGGAGAGATGGGGAGAGATGGGGAGAGATGGCGAGAGATGGCGAGCACCTCGAAGGCGCAGTTGGTGAGGAGGAGCGTCGGGATCTGCAACGCCGCCGACCAGAGCGCGGTGACAATGTCGGACGCCTGAGGAGTTCATCAATGCCCTCTTCCTCGCCTCTCCTCTCCCTTTCTCCTCTCTCTCTCTCTCTCCTCTCCCTCTCCTCTCCCTCTCCTCTCCCTGCGCCTGAGGATTTCATCAATGCGCATCAGAGTGCATCAAACATTGATGGGACCCGAGCGCGGTGACGATGTCGGACGCCTCGTTATTAGGCCAACCATGTGAGTGTTGCTGAGCGCCGAGTAGAGGGCGGTGGACGGGGCGGTGGAGAGGCCAAAGAAGTGTCTGGGAAGAGTCTTGGAAGTGTCTAGGAAGTGTCTGGGACGCCTCGCGCGGGGAGAGGCCAAAGAAGTGTCTAGGAAGTGTCTAGGAAGTGTCTGGGAAGTGTCTGGGAAGTGTCTGGGAAGTGTCTAGGACGCCTCGCGCAGGGAGAGGCCGAAGAAAAGAGCAGAGTACACGAACCTAAATAAACACATAAATAAACAAATAAATAAATAAATAAATAAACGAGGAAGAGAGCAGAGGACACGAACCAGTGCAGGCAGAGGACGAGCACGACGCGGCGGAGGGCCGGCTCCTAATGTCTCAGTGACGACGCACTCAGGGACGGCTGCAGCTGTGAACACCGACCCCCCTCCTCCCCCGGCCGCAGCGCCTCCCACATCAGCGCGGCCAGCCCGCCGCCGCCGCCCCGCGCGCCGCCGCCGCCGCCGACCCCGCCGCCGCTGCTGCTGAGCCCTGCAGGCGCCGCGTTGCTAACTCGTTATGCACCAGGTAACGACCACGTGTCGGCTAACCTCGGCTCACCTCGGCTCACCTCGGCCACTCTCGACATGTCTCGGCTAGGAAGTCTCTGGGAAGTGTCCAGGAAGTATCCTGCTAGGCGCTCCTCTGCCACGTCCTCCGCCACTGCCCGCCGCCGTCTAGGAAGTGTCTGGGAACTGTCTAGGAAGTGTCTAGGAAGTGTCTCGCTAGGCGCCCGACCGGTCGCGAAGCTCTTCCCGCGCGCAAAGGAGGCGAGGCGGCGCGGCGTCAGCG